TTTTTTTTTTTTTTTTTGTGAAACAAGGAATGAATTTGTTAGAACTGTCTCGATGTAAATCGGAGTCATCTTTAAGGAGGAAAAAAAAAGAAAAAAAAGTTAAAAATTGACACAGTCACTGGGCTCTGCTGTTGGTTTTTTTGGGGAGGTGAAGGAGGTTCCTGTGCTGACAGAAGGGAGGATTTTGGGGGTTTTTGAGCCTTTCTCCAGGGCTGGGGCAGTGCCCAGACGGCGTCTCCCATCCCCTGGCACGTCGGCACATGCGGAGCGGCGGCTCCCGGCTGGATTTGTGGATTTGGAGAGCTCTCAGCTCCTGCTCCTCATCCTTCCCTGGGTAAATAAGGCCGTGCCAGCAGGCAGAGGACGGGATGTGCCAGCTCTTGTTCCACCCCAGCTCCTTCCTTGTCACTTTTGGGGGCGTTCCCTCCACTGGGAGAATTCAGGGAGCGGCGCTGGGGTCGGGATCCACCGGGATGGATCCAAATGGTCACAGCTCCAATGGATCCTGCCATGGGATCTCCCTCCATTCCCGGGATGGATCCAAATGGTCACAGCTCCAACCTCGGGCTGGATCCTGCCCAGGGATCCTCCCTCCATTCCTGGGAAGCTGCTGTGGCTCCCACCTCTGCTTTCCACACCTGAGATCCATCCCCTCTTCCCAAGTGAGAGCAGAATGTTCAGGATGAGTTCTGGAGGACTCCAGGTTATCCCAACCACAGCAGCTTTTCCTTCAGGAATTCAGTGTCCAGCCTCGAGCTCAGCTCACCACGTGCTCCCTCTTTCCCACCTGCTCCATCCGACGGCATTCCCAGCCTCCGGATGCATCCAGGACACTCCGGCTCTCCCACCCTTTTCCTGCGTGTTCCCACCAAAAGTGGGGAGCCCCCAAGCCCCAGCACCGCTCCCAGACCCCACTCTCGGGGCTCCCGGCACATCCCTGCCCATGGGAGCATCCCCGCGAGCATCCCCGGGGCCGGCCGCACATTCCCGGCTGGCATCGCCGCGCTGAGCAAACAGGAAACACTCGCCCTTTGTTAATCCCGGCCCGGGCTGCGCGTTAAATATTTATCTGTGAGCGGAGGCTGGTGCTGGGAGCCGCGGGGAGGGAGGGACCGAGGCAGGGCTGGCGCTGGAGGCTCCTCGCCGGGCACGGGGACACTGCGTGGGGACCAGGAGGTGAGTGGGGGGGTTTGGGCAGGGGGTGTTGGCACCCCGAGGGGGGCTGTGATGAAGGGGGGGCTGCTCCTCGCATCGCCAGCGGCTGCTGCGACCTCGCGAGGTGGCACTTGGTGGGCTGGAGGGGACCTGGAGGGGACCTGGAGGGGACCTGGAGGGGACCTGGAGGAGATGGTCAGCCCTTGGCAGCAGGGATTGGGGTCGGGGGTCTCCTCGCTGGGTTTAACCCTCCCCGGCCCTGCTGCCATCCCTGCCCTTGTCACCCCGGGATTTTCCAGCAGGATCAGCCCCTGTCCCCAGCCCGTGTCCTCGCCACGGTGTCCCCAGCTGGCACCAAGGAGCGGCCTCATTCCCACGGCATTGGGGTGGGAGCTGCGTCCCCCAGGGCCGTGGCAGGGGGGAGGACACCCGAACTTGTCCCCGGTGTCCCCGGTGTCCCCCGGGCGCAGCATCGCAGCCGGACAGGGCTCCTGCCATCATCCCCCTCGTCCCCAGCAGCAGCAGCAGGGGGCGGTGGCTTGGTGGGGACAGAGGGGTGGCAGCGGAGCCACCATCGGCCCGGGAGCTCACGTGGGAGCTCACGGGATGAGGAAGGGCTGGGGCTGCCCCGTTTTGGGGGTGTCAGCAGTTTAGGGGAGCAGGAAGTGGCCGGCGGGTGAGTGGTGGGTGCGGGCGCTGCCCGAGGGGCGAGGGGCACCCCCAGAGCAGGGCACGGGGGTGTCCCATGGGGGCCCATGGCCGGATTCCTTAGGGATGGGTGGATGGGGGAGATGAGGGGTGCAGTGGGGATGGGGGGGATGAGGGGTGCAGTGGGGATGGGGGGGATGAGGGGTGCAGTGGGGATGGGGGGATGAGGGGTGCAGTGGGGATGGGGGGATGAGGGGTGCAGTGGGGATGGGGGGGATGAGGGGTGCAGTGGGGATGGGGGGATGAGGGGTGCAGTGGGGATGGGGGGGATGAGGCGTGCGGTGGGGATGGGGGCTCTGCTCTGGGTGTGCCCCCACACCAGCGGGGCACAGGAGCACAGACCCCACTCCCCACTTCGGTCCTCACCTCTCAGCATTTCCCTCCTCACCCTCTTCCAAAAATCCTCCCTAAATTCTTTTCTCCATCGGGTGGGGAACCGGTGACGCTGGAGGGGATGAGGTGGGACACAGGCAGGGCACGGGGGTCTTACATGGGGGTCCCAGTGCCCAAATCCCTGTGGGATGGAGAGATTGAAGGGATGGAGGAGATGGAGCGATGGAGGGCTGGAGGAAATAGGGGGGATAGAGGGTCACCCGTGGGAAAGCGGCGGCAGTGGGGATGGGGGCTCTGCTCTCGCCGTGCCCCCATCTCGGCTCTCGGAGGTCCATAGGAGCACAGACCCCACTCCTCCCCTTAGTCCCGACCTCCACCCAGCACTCCCCTCCCCATCCCTTCCCGAAAATCCCCCCCAAATCCCCGTCTCCATCGCTCCGGGGGGCCGGCGACGCCGGGCTCGCCCCGTTTCGTAAGCGGGGGCCGGGTGTGCGGGAACGCGTGCGCGGGGCGTGGGATGAGTTCAGCCTCTTGGCTCCATTCCCTGGATCCCATCCCTGGAAATGTCACTGGAAACTCTGAATGGGCCGGCCCCGCTCCAGAGCGGGGAGCGCTGGGGGGGCAGCGCACCCCGGGGGTGCCGGGGCACACGGGGACCCAACGCCGGGGCGGACGGCGGCTCCCGACCCTCCTGGGGGATGTTCTTGGGGGGATCTCCCCTCCAGCCCCCCACGATACTCTGAGCCCCCCCCCGCTCCCTCCGCTCCTTCTCCCGGCAAAGTTCGTGCCGTGGATTTTTCTTCCCTGCCGCTCGCAGCTCCGTCCCGCTCGCCCCGGGGCTCCCCAAAACCCCGCTGCTTCCCGGGGGTCCCCGCTGGCACCGCCCAGGAGGTAAGAGCTGGCTGGGGGGGCCGGCGAGGGGACCCCCGGGGACAGATTTTGGGGGACATTCCGAAGGAGAAGGACGGGGCCGAGCCCTGTGCGGGTGCTGCGCTGGGAATGGCGTAGAGGTTTTTGGGGTGCCCTGGGGGGATGGGAGCCTGCACCTCACTTTCTGTACCCCGGGGCACATCCTTCCCTGGTCCTCAGTTTCTCCACGGGGATAATTAACTAATTACAGCCTTGGGGCTGCGGGGCCTGCAGCGGTGTGGGGAACCGGGAGCCGAGGGGTCGCCAGCCCAATTTGGGGGTCCCACACACACAGAGGGCACCGTGTCGGGCTGGTACCCCCCGGCAGCGCCCCGGGATGCCCGGTTTGAGGCGGGGTCTGGCCGTGCTGGGCACCTGCGAGCACCGCGGTGGGGACGGAGCCGTGAGGGACGAGCACAGGTGTCCCCTGAAGGCCCCGGTGCTGCGCTGGCCTCCGGAGCCATCCCGGTGTCAGGAACGGCTCCGGAGCTCCCGTCCCCCCCCAGCTGCCCCCCGGCCGGTCCCCGCTGAGTCACAGCATCGCCCTCCCGGCGGGCGGTGCCGGGCTCGGGTTCGCGTTCCCGGCTCCTCGTCCCTCCGTCCCCTCTCCCTCCCTGTTTGCGCTGCAGGGCGGGGAAATATTTCTGCCCTGTCGTGTTCCCGGCACTGGCAGCGCTCCCGGGCGGGCGACGCTGCTGCCGCCACGTGCCCGGGCGGGAGGGCACCGTGCCGGGATGCCGGGCCGATCGCCCCGAGCCGCTCCGGGCGTGTTCTTCCCTGGGCTGGATCCATCCGTGCAGAGCCAGGGCAGGGCCAGGCGCGGGTGGTCTGGATCCGCATGGAGAAGGCGGTGGGGACCCGTGCCAGGGCTGGTTCTAAACAGGAGCAGCCGCTTCCCCTGGCACAGCGAGGTTCCCTGAGCTGGGGACGCTGCCACCGTGGTTGCCACCCCACAGTGATCATTGTCACCCCACACATGGTGTCCTCTGAATAACAGGGGACGCTGCCAGCGGTGCGGCTGGGGGTCCTCCGAGCCCTCATCTCTGTGGGAAAACCTGGGAATGCTCAGAAAACAGAGGCACGGGACGCCTCGTGAGCACGGCTGCTTTTCCCACAGGGCAGGGCCAGCATCCCACACCCCCCGGCCATGGCGGGCCGGCTCCTGCCCCCCGACACCAGCCCGGCTCTGGGTGTGGAGGACGTTCCCCATTCCCACCCATCTCTGCAGGTGTCCCCGCAGCACACGGTGACACGGGTGAGTGGGGCCGGGGGCTGTCACGTGCTGGTGGGTTCAGGGGGGCTGCACCCCTCCAATCCTTGGCGCTGCCCCCGTGCCAGCCCCTCCCCTGTGCCACAGGTGCCCATCATCCGCCACCGCGGCTCCAACACTCTCAACTTCCTCTTCCATGACCCGGAGAGCCGCGGCACTGCCGAGAACAGCCAGGGAGCTCCCAAGAGCTCAGGTACAGCCTTGAGCATCCTGGGACCCCCCCGGGGGCTCCCCCGAGCGATGTTTACCTGAGCCATGCTCACCTGAGCCATACTCACCTTGTCTCCAGTGAATGAGTGGTACCAGACCTGGCCGGCCAAGGAGGCGAAAGGCCCCAGCACCCCTGTGCCCACCCAGCCCACCCCCAGCCCCAGGGCTGCCCCCAGCTGCCCACGGCCACCGGGCTGGTCGGCAACCTGGACCAAGGACAGCAAGCGGCGGGAGAGGCGCTGGGTGAAGTACGATGGCATCGGGCCCGTGGACGAGACGGGGATGCCCCTCGCCTCACGCTCGGTGAGTGGGGGCGCAGGGCGGGGGTGTCACCCCGCTGTCACCCCCTCACCACCCCGATGTGCCCCCCCCAGAGCGTCGACAGCCCCCGGGACTGGTACCGCAGCATGTTCCGGCAGATCCACCGCAAGCTGCCAGGTGAGCCCGGGTGTGCGGGTGTGGCACAGAGCGGGCACAGCTCGGCGCCCGCTCAGCTCCTCCATCCTCAGAGCCCGACTGGGACACCCATTCCTGCCCCACCACGGCGCCTCCATCGCCCCCCAAACCGCGGAGGAGGGGCTCGGCCCCAGCGGAGCCCCCCGGAATGCCCAACGGGATGGACTGGTGAGCGTGGCACAAGGGACGGGGGTGCCCACAGGGTGGGGGCTGTGGTGGCTGAACCCCTCCCGCCCTCCACAGGACCCGCTGGGGTGCCACCGGTGCCACCACCGAGCCTGGCAGCATTTTTGACTATGAACCAGGGAAGTTCTGTCCACAGGAGCAGGTAGGCAGGTCCTGGCACATGGGGAGGGCAGTGGGCACCGCAGTGGGCACACACCTGACCGGCCCCTTGCCCTTTCCAGAGCCCGGCAGCAGCACGGCCGAAGCGGGCTCAGTCCATCGAGGTGAGGTGGTGGTGGCAGGTGGGGGTCAGGGGGTGGCAGGTGGGGGTCATGGGGTGGCAGCGGGGTCCCGGTGCCCGTGGGCAGTGCCAGCCTGGCCCCCACAGCCCCGTCCTGCCCGTGCCCTGTGCAGGTGCTGCTGGAGCAGGAGCTGGAGCAGCTCAGCGAGGAGCTGGAAAAGGACATGAGGGACATGGAGACACGCCGGACACCCCGCCAGGTAGCCCAGACCCCTCCTGCTGCCCCTTGGTCCCTGCAGGGCATCCAGCTGTGGGCACATCCAGCTGTGCGCACATCCAGCTGTGGGCTCAGCCTTTGTGTAAGGCTTGGACATGCACACGCTGGGATGCACAGCTGCACGCACCGTGGCCGGATGCGTGCACATCTGGATCGATGTTTGGATGGGTGCATGCACAACTGGATGCCTGCACAGCTGGATGTGTGAACAACTGGATGTGTGCGTGGCTGGATCCCTGCACATCTGGATGCCTGCCCGGCTGGGTGAATGCACAGCTAGCTGCGTGCACATCTGGATGCGTGCACAACTCGGTGCCTGCCTGTCTGGCCCCACGCACATCTGGACCCACGCACGGCTGCTCAGCGGCCTGGAGCCGTGGCTGTGGGGCTCTAGGACCCAGCCCGTCCGTCCGTCCGTCCGTCCGGCGGTTCATTGGCGCAGCCGAGCTGGACTCCTTCGCTTCCCGCCGAGACTCGGCCTCCTGGATGATTAATTTTTCTCTCCCACCCCCTCCCGCTCCTCCCGGCAGAGCCCGGCGGCTGCTCCCACCGCTCGCTCCCCTGCTCCGGCCTCCCCGGCTGCTCGGTGAGTTCAGCGGCTGCTCCCACCCCCCGCACCCCCAAATCCCCCTGCCCAGACCCCACTGAAGGCGAGGGACAGGACCCCGCTCTGGGGGTGGCGGGAGGGTTGTCCCTGCAGCGTCCCGCGGGTTCGGAGTCCCCAGGCATCCCCCACGGGATCCCCACGGAGCCTCCCCGTGGCAGCTCTGGCCCCCTCGGTCCCCCCACACCCCGGCACGGGTGGGAGCCGGCGCCGGGCCGGCTGCCCGGTGGGTGTGACGGGGCCGGAGCGGGGCTGACCCTTTCCCCCGTCCCTGGAGCAGGGACGCCGTGTCCCGGCGTTTGGCTCCGTCCCAGGGGAGGTGGCGGCGCTTGGATTCCCACCGCTGTGTCCCCATGTCCCCAGCGAGGCGACAGCTGTGCCGGAGGGTGCCGGAGCACCCCGGGATGGGGTGGGAACCCCGGGATGGGCTGGGGACCCCGAGGTGTCCCCACAGACCCCTCTGTGCCCCGGCAGCGAGAGGAAAACAAACAAACAAACAAACAAACAAGCGCCTCCTCTTGTAGGACCGACCGTAACCCCCAGGGGCGCACAGGGTGGGTGATCCCCCCCTCCCCAGCCCCTCCTCCGGCATGGGGGGCGCATTTGGGCTCTTTAAGTGCCCCCCGGAGCGGGATTATTCATTAGCCAGCCCGCCCTCCCCTGCTCCGTGCTTCCTGCTCGGCCGCAGCGGGGCCGCGCTGCCGGAGCTGCCGGAAAACTTTGGACTTGTCCCGCTTGGCTGCCTCTGGATGAGACCCTGGAGGGGTGAAGAGAGCAAATCCCGGGGGTCTTGGTTCTGGGGGACCCCAGCGTCCTCACACTGGGGTACCCAGTGGTTCTAGTCCGTGGGATCCCGGGGTCCTGGTTCTAGAGGACCCTGATATCCCGGTTCATGGAATTCAGGCATCCTGGTCCTGCAGGACCCCAAATTCTTGGTCTATGGGATCCAGGGGTGCCGGTCCATGGGATACAGGAGTCCTGAGGGTCCCTGATGTCCTGGTCCATGAGACCCAGGGTCCTGGTCCATGCAATTCACAGGACCCCGATATCCTGGTGTGTGGGACACAGGGGTCCCGCCCCTTCCAAGGGCAGCAGGGTCAGAGCTGGGAGGGTTCATGGCAGCAGGGCTGGACACGAGGATCAGCCCTGCCCTGAGCCACTGTCACCCCACAGGAGCCCTCTGTCACCCCACCGGCTGTGGAGCCCCCCTGTCACCCACCGCTCACCTGCCACCCCCAGCATGGAGCGGGGTGGGCTGGGGCTGGCCAGTGACTGGAGCCACGCAGCCCCCGGCAGAGGTGAGCCCCCCTTTAACCCCCCTGAGCCCCCCAAGCCCTGCCATGGGTCACCCCAAACACCCTGGCTGGTGGCACCTCGCTCTTTGCAGACACCCTCAGGCCAGGGACCCTCCCCAGCTTGTCAGACCTGGGGGACCCCGTGGAGGCCGTCAAGAAGGAGGAGAAGAAGGTGAGGCTGGGCTGGTCCCATCCCATGTGGGATTTGGGATGGCTGGGGCTGGGGGTGCCCCATGGCAGAGCTTGGGGGGCTCAGGGGGGGTTTATTCTCCCTGTAACCTCTCCTCTCCCTCCCCAGATGAAAGCTGCTCGCCTCAAGTTCAACTTCCAGGCTGAGTCTCCCAAGTAAGCACCGGGGTCACTCCTGGGGTCCCACTGTGCCTCTCGGGTGATGGATGGGAACTGGGGTGGCCCTGCCAGCCGGGCTGGGGACAGGTCTGTGCCCGTGTGACAGTGTCCCTTGCAGGGAGCTGACGCTGCAGAAGGGGGACATCGTCTACATCCACAAGGAGGTGGACAGGAACTGGCTGGAGGGGGAGCACCACGGCCGCGTGGGCATCTTCCCCTCCAACTACGTGGAGGTGAGCCCGGGGCACGAGGGGACAGCGGGGACAGGGGATCCTGGCGCTGCCCCTCACCCGCGTGTCCCACCCAGATCCTGCCGCCCACGGAGGTGCCCAAGCCCATCAAGGCTCCCACGCTCCAGGTCCTGGAATACGGTGAGGCGCTGGCGCTCTACAACTTCAGAGGGGATCTGCACGTGGAGCTCTCCTTTCGCAAGGTACCGCCGCTCCGTCATGTGCCCATTCCGTGCCATTCCGTGCCATTCCGTGCCCATTCCGTGCCCATTCCGTGCCATTCCGGGCCCATTCCGGGCCCCTCCGTGCCGACCCGCCCTCTGCTCTCTCGGCAGGGCGAGCGGATCTGCCTGGTGCGGCGAGTGAACGAGAACTGGTACGAGGGGCGGATCTCGGGCACCAGCCGCCAGGGCATCTTCCCCGCCACCTACGTCCAGGTGTTGAAGGAGCCGCGGGTCAAAGCCACGGCCGAGGACATCCCCTCGTCTCCTGCCCCCGCCAGCCCCCGGCTCGTGGCCGGATCCCCGTCCCTGCAGCGCTCACCCGGTCCCCGCATCCCCCAGGCTCCCACCGGCTCCCCCCGGGAAGCCAGGAGGGGTCCCGGGGTAGCGGGAGGGCGCCCGTCCTCTCCCCTCCACCTCGGCACCACCTTCCCCCCCTCCCCAAAACTGCTCCACGGCACCCCCAGCCCCTTGGTGGCCTCTGCCAGCCCCCCGCACCCTGCGGCCGCCCACCCCCAGGAGCTCCGGCGTCCCGCCTGGACCCCCGAGCAGGTGAGCGGTCCCCGCCCTGGTATCGTGCCCCCCTCAACCTTGGCATCGTGCCCAGGCACCGCTGGGGCTGTGGGTGCTGCCCTGAACCCACCCTGTCCCCCCACAGCGCGCCACTCCGGGGGCACAAACCGGTGCCCGCCCCGAGCCCGCCCCGTCCTACAACGGCTCCGAGATCCGGTGGACTCCGTAAGCAGGGCCAGGAGTGTCCCCAGGGCGCGGTGTCCCCACGAAGGGGGACACGAGAGGGGGGGTGGGCTCTGCCCATGCTTTGTCTCGCAGGTACCGGGCGCTCTACCAGTACCGGCCCCAAAACGCCGACGAGCTGGAGCTGCTGGAAGGGGACAGGGTGGATGTCATGCAGCAGTGCGACGATGGCTGGTTCGTGGGTGCGTGGCCACCAGTTTGGGGACAGGGATGAGGACAAGGTGCCACCCTCATCCCTCACCGCCTCTCCGCGTCTTTATCCCCACAGGAGTGTCCAGGAGGACGCAGAAATTCGGCACTTTCCCCGGGAATTACGTGGCGCCGGTGTGACCCGCGGCCATGGGGACCCCGGGGGGAGGAGTGGGATTGGGGGCTTCTCCCTGTTCCGCCTGGGCCACCCTGTGTCCCCTCCGTGTCCCCCCACGGGGATGAAGTGCCTCCAGTTCCCTCCCGCCCCTATGGGGCTGCCTCTAACAGGGACGAATCCCCCCGGCTCGGGGTGTCCCCCCCAGCCCAGTGCCTTAACCCGCCCCCTCCTCACCGCTGCCCGCTGCCACCACCCCGGGGGTCGCCCCGGGAGTGTGGCCGGTGCCGGGTCTGACCATGACGGCCGTGACCCTCGATGTGGGTCCGTGTCCGGGAGTCGCCTTCGCTTCTTTTCCATCATTAAAGCTCAGCTCAAGCCCGACTCTGAGAGTGCCGGGATTGGGGAGGAGCCGCTCCCGGGACACGTCCCACCGGGAGCCGCGGGGCGGGGAGCGGGGGGAGGACTCTGCGTGGGGCCGCGGGGATCCCCCCACGCCCACGGGCGGTCCCGCTCGGTGCCGGGGCGGGCCCAGCCGTGCGCCCCGTCGGGGGAGGGGGGGGGCAGCCGTGCCCGCAGCCCGGCCCGGCCCGGCCCGGCTCCTCCCGAGGAGGCGGTGCCGTCCCGGGGCCGCGCTCGGCTCCGCAGCCCCGCGGGGCCGCCCGGCTCGGCCGCCCGGGTGAGTGCGAGGGGCACGGGGGGCACGGGGGGCACGGGGGGCTTGGGGGGCACCGGCTGTGGCTGTGGGGGGTGTCCGTCCCTCGGGGGTCCCGGTGCCCGGGGGTGGAGAGGGATGTGCGGGCATGTCCCGCCGCTGTGTCCCCAAGTCCCCAGATCCCCGCGGGTGCCAAGTCCTTGTGTCCCCACGTCCCCGCGCCTCCTGGCATCGCCCGTCCCCGCCGCTCGCCCCGCGGGTGCCAGGCGGCACCGCCAGTCGCCGCGGGCACAAAGACATCGCTGTGCGGCGGGGACAGAGCCCGGAGGGAGCGGGGACACAGGTAGGGAGTGGGGGACCGAGGAGAAGAGCAGGGGATGGAGAAGGGGAGCACGGACGGGGATGGAGAAGGGGTGCAGGACACCAAGGGGAGGTGCAGGGACTGGAGAAGGAGTGCAGGGATGGAGGAGGGGAGCATGAGAGAGAGGTGGGGTGCAGTGTCTAAAGAAGGGGTGCAGGGTCCGGAAAAGAGGTACAGGGCTCTTGGGGGGTCTGGGGTCGGTGCCCAGCTGGGTGTGGGGGTCCCCGGACTGGCAGCCCTCACTGCCCAGGGATGCTGAGCGGGGCTGGGCATGGGGAGGGGGTTTGGGGTTTGGGGTTTCCTCCCGGCGCTGGAAGCCCGGCCCAGGAAATTCTTCCGGGCAGCCTCTCAAGCCCCTCTTTGTGCTCTTGGGATTTTTAACATTCCCGGCGGCTGCGGACGGGGTGCCCGGTGCTGGACGGGGTACCCGGTTCCAGATGGGCTGCCCAGCTCTCCCAGGCTGTGGCGGGATGGATGGGATGGGATCTGGTGTAGATTTAGGGGATGCGGCTGCTGCCCATTCCCGCCTATTCCCACCCATCCCAGGGAGCCAAGGGCTGCCATGGGGACTCTGTGCCACCCCCGGGGGATTCTCAGCGTCCTTTACAGTGTGGATTTGCTATGGGATGAAGGACTGGAGCTGCTGGTCCTTGCTGGGTGTCGGATCCTGCTGTGCTGAGCAGCAGGACCCGTCCCTCGCTGCCACATCCTCCCCTCCAAACCCCGCTGGCTCGGCTCTGCCAGGCCACAGCGCTGGCCTTGCTGCCAAGGCGTCACCGATTTCCTGCCTTGCTCCAGCTCCTGGGAGCGACCTTGGCTGTGTCAGCTGCACCGCCGGGTGCCTGGGACCCCCTGGCCCCGGGGGAGGAAGCCGCCAGCCTTAGGGGACAAGAGGAAGCTGCGCTGGCTGGTGACACCCTGCGAGGACCTGGGTCCCCTCCCCGGAAGGAAAGCGCTGCCAGCGCTCTCGGGACCCTCAGGGTGCAGCGGGGACAGGGAGGCCCTCGTTGGGTGGTCTGTGGGTAGGAGGAGGGGGGGGTCCCCTCTGCCTCATCCCTTCACCCGGAATTGCTGACACCTCGCTCCTGCCCGCCCAGAGCCGCCGCTGCCATGCCGGTGACAGTGACACTACCCGGCCCGGCCCCGTGGGGCTTCCGCATCTCCGGAGGAAGAGATTTCGGGAAGCCCATCACTGTCTCCAAGGTAGGAGCCCCCCACGTGTCCCCCGGGCCCGGGAAGGGCGCCGGGACGGGCCGGGCTGCTCCGGGGAGCGGATCCTGTTTGCTGTCCTTGAGGGATCCTGCTCCGTGGGAACGGCCCACGGCGGGCGACGGCGGCATGGGGGGGGCTCCTGTGGTGGCCCCCGGGCTGGGCTGGGCTGTGCCAAATTTCCGGGTGTTGTTTCCAAGGCCGTGGTCCCCTCCTGGCAGAGGGTCTGGTACTGTTCTGTCAGGGCCCAGGAGATCCCAGTGGGGTGGGAGAATCCCAGCAGGGTGGGGCTGGGGGCTTGAGGCTGCACGAGGGTGCACGAGGGGGTCACCATGTCCCCTTCTCCATGGAGGTGACAGAGCACGGGAAGGCGGCCACGGGTGACCTCCGGCCGGGGGATGTCATTGTCACCATCAATGGAGAGAGCACGGCTGAGATGCTCAACGTGGAGGCGCAGAACAAGATCAAGCAGAGCCCGGGGCAGCTCCGGCTGGAGGTGGAGAGGTGAGCGCGGGGGGTGGCCCGGACACCTGGCCCTGGGTGCCAGCGTGCGGGCTGGGGTCCCCAGCCACGTGTGTGTCACTTGTTCCCCTCCCTGGTGACTCTTGGGGCGGTGCCATCCCCGCGGGAGCCTGTCCCGGCTCTCTAATTAAGGAATCGGGTGCTAACGAGGCCAGGCAGCGCCGGCAGCCGTTACCTGGCCGACTGGTCCCAGTTGGGGACGCAGCTGCTGCCGGGGGTCACACCGCTCTGTGCTCAGGGGTTTTGTGCTCATGGGGAAGGTCCCAAACCCTGCTGCTCTCCCTTGGCTCCAGGTCCCCTGTGCCACCTCCCAGCCACACCAACGGGGACACCTCTCCGGAGAGGTTGGCCACGCGCTTCCAGGTGAGCTCTGGGCAGCCCCCGCACACTCCGGCCCCCCAGCCAGGGCTGGTGGCAGCTGCTGGTGTCACTGTCACCCTCCTCTCCCCAGGACACGCTGTGGATGCGGAGTGAGAGCCAAGGTGCCCTGAGAACCCTCGACCCCAGCCTGGCATCCCTCACCCACCCACCTGGCAGTGCCAGGTAAGGCTGCACCGGGCTGTGTGTGGGGCTGGGAGGTGGGGAGGGGTCTGGGGAGGGCCAGGGACCCCCCTGATGTCTCCGTCCTCTCCCTCAGCTCACAACCCTTGGAGCAGGAGTTCACCTGTCCCGGCCTCCACCAGGTGAGCTGGGGGGCTGCAGAGGGGCAGGCGGAGATGCTGGGAGGGGGATCCGTGCACCAAAACCTTTTGAACCCCTAAACCATCCCCCTCTGAATCCCCAAATCATCCCCATTTTTAGCCCTGCTTTGAACCACCAAACCATCCCTCTTTTCAATGCTAAACCTTCCCCTCCTTGAGCCTCAGAATTACCCCACTTTGAGCCCCCTAACCACTCCCTCTGCACCCCCACGGCCACGTCACTGCCCGGCGCAGCCCTGCTGTCCCTCAGGGTCCCCGTCTGCGGTGGGTGCCACCGCTGTCCCCTCCCCGCCGCGCTGGCAGCACCCCCGGCCCCGCGGGCACCGCCGCACCTGCCCAGGGATGTTTTGCTCCTCTTGGCAGCGGCGCCAGCCTGGGGAGGCCAAACCAGTTTGGGAAGGCCCAGCCCCGCTCCCGCCAGCCCGGGGCACTGGGGTGTTGGCCGGGCAGGGACCCAGGGCCCGGCTCACCCCCGGCCTGGTGGGACACCCCAGGAGTGGGATCGGGATGCGCCGGGAGTGGGATCGGGATGCCCGGGGGCTGGATGCCTCCTCCACACCCGAACTCAGTGCCAGGATGCCCGCGGCCGCCCCATCCCTCCCTGCGGGCAGCCGCTGGCTCCGGGCTTGGCGTCTCCCTCCTTTCCTCCCTCCCTGCTTTCTCTTTTTCTTGTTTTTCAAGCCCAAATTGGGAAGCGCCGCGGCCCCGAGCGCGGCCCTTCCCAGCTGCCTTTGGCCGCAGCCCCGGCCGCCCCTTGGCTCCTCCGGCCGCCCGCTCCCTCCTTCCTCCCCAGCTCCTTGTTTGCTTTGGTGCCGGCTCCGAAGGGTCCCTCCCTGTCCCAGAGGGTCCATCCCTGCCCCGGAGGGTCCCTCCCAATTCGGACACCCCCACCACAGTGCTGGGGACGCGAGGATGCCGTGCCCGAAGCCCCCCACCCCGGCCCCTGTGCCCAAGGGGTTGCTGAGGGGATGGCTGCCCTTGGATCCATCCCACTCTTCCTCGCATCCCAGGGCTGGCGCTGATGCCGGCAGGGATGAGGCCAAGGCCCGGCTCCTCCCGTGCCTAATTTTAGCTCATCCCTCGTGACCCCACGGAGCCTCAGCGCTGCCCCTCTCCCTGTCCGTGGGTCCAGGCAAGGGGTCCCTGTGGCCATGCCGGGGTCCTGCTGGGATTCATTCCCATCTGCGTGGCAGCTGCTCCCGGCAACATCGGCTTCCACTTATCCAGGGTTCCGCTCCCCGGCCTCGCCGGGGCCGCTAAGCAGGAGCAGATGGAGGGGAGGGGACGGGCGCAGGCGCCGGGTTTTGGGGTGGGAGTGCTGCCACTGACCCCAGCCTGGGTGGGATGGAGAAGCAGCTGCCCCATGGAGCATCCCGCTGGAGACCTGGGCTTGGGGAAAGCCCCAAGGTCTGGTCCGGGTGTCTTTGGGGTGGTCTGTGGGCACTCTCAGACCGTTCTGGGGGATTGCCCCAGCCCGGGCCCCCCCCAGGACATCCATCACTGCTCCCCTGCCAGGAGCGAGGACGCCTGAGCCGCCAGAACAGCTCCCAGGGGCCCGTCCTGCCTCCACCCCCCTGCCCACCCCCAGCGGAGCTCGGAGCCCCCCAAAACCCTTGGGAAACCCTCGGGGAGAGGCGCCTCTCCTCCTCCTCTCCCAACACCTGCCACAGGTACGGAGCAGGCTGCGGGCTGTGTGGGGGGGACACCCCGGCAGGGAAGCCCCCAGCCCCGTGTCCCCACGCCGGTTTGTCACCCGTGGGTGCTGAGGGAGCCCGTGGAAAGGGTTAAGTCACCTGTAGGCAGGTGGGGCCGTGGGAGGGCCGGGCAGGCTGGGGCAGCTCCCGGGGTGGAGGGAGCAGGTGGCGGACGGGCAGTGGGGTGCAGCCGGGTGGATCCTGGAATCCGGGTGCTGGGAACTCCCCCAAAAACCTCCCCTCGGGCTGCGCCCCACAGCCAGGGCTCGGAGCCGGCCATGAAGCGCTTGGAGGAGGACTCGGAGGTTTACAAGATGCTACAGGAGAACCGGGAGCTGCGGGCGGCCCCGCGGCAATCCAGCACCTTCCGCCTGCTCCAGGAGGCTCTGGAGGATGAGGAAGGAGGTGAGGAGGACACGGAGGGAGGGGTGGCACGGGAGTGGCAGGAGCCTGATGGCCTTGTGTCCCCACAGGAGCCCCCTTCCCCAGCCGGCTCTCGGCCGGTGCCCGCAGGCCCGTGGCCGGGGTGCAGAAGCTGCACGTCTGTGAGAAGTGCGGGAGCAGCATCGCGTGAGTGGGGCTGGGGGCCTGGGGAGGGGGTTCCGGGGCTGGGTCTGTCCCTGCCATCCCTCCTGGAGAAGCCAAAAAGGGGCCGCTCTCAGCGGTGGGGGTGTCCCAGGGCAGGATCTGTCCCCGACGTTGCTCCCGGCTGGGATAAAATGCGGCTGATCCTGGGTGTGGCTGGGACAGGATCCATCCCTGCTGTCACCGCCGGCGGGGTTCACATGGGGCTGATTGTGGGGTGGGAATGGGGCTGCGGGCCCGGGGGTCCCAGGGCAGGATCCTTCCCTGCCATTGCTCCCTCAGGGCGAAAATGGGGGCGGTCTTGGGGTGTGAGTGGGGTCGGGGTGGATCCATCGCTCCAGGGCCACGATGGGGCTGACCCTGGGTGGGAGGTGACCTTGGGGACACACAGAGTGGCTCGGCTGACCCCCTGGTTGTCCCCACATCCCCAGGACACAGGCGGTGCGGATCCAGGACGGTCGCTACCGGCACCCGTCCTGCTACACCTGCGCCGACTGCGGCCTCAGCCTGAAGATGCGCGGCCACTTCTGGGTGGGGGACGAGCTGTTCTGCGAGAAACACGCCCGCCTGCGCTACCAGGGACCCCCGGGCGGGCCCGTCCCCCGCCCTGTGTCCCCTCGCTCCTGAGCCCCGGCCACCGGCACCGTGAGATGGGGTCACCGCCGGCGTCCCCCGTGACCCCAGGGCTGTCCCACCCCACTGCGGTAGGGCTGGGCTGGGGGGCTGAGGGTGGATGGGATTTGGGGGGGAGGCGATGCCAATTTTCACCCCTTTGTGGGTGTGTGTGATGAGCTGGGTGAGTTCTTAGCCTGGGGGACACCGAGGGGACATTGAGGGGGATGGGAGGGGGTCGCTTGAACACTTGGGTACCGGAGCGGGGGCTGGCACCGCTTGTGCACTGACTGCAAAGCGCTTCTCCGAGGAATTAAACCAGATTCTCTATAAATATAATATATATTTGCTCCACTGCCTTGTCTGCTCTGTGCCGGGACCCTAGGGCAGGGGGAAGGGGGGAGTTTTACCCCAAACCCAGGGTGCAGACAGGGACCCCCCAGACCCCTCAGCCCTCTTGCCCTCACTCGGGGTGGGGGTCCAGGGTTTGGCACGGGTCCTGCTCCCGGGAAGGTCAGGGCTGCCCGCAGGGCTGGATGGCCCCTCCCTGCCCCGGCGTCCCTGGGAGGTGTCCGGGTTTATTGGGGGCTGTTGGCCGAGGCCTTTGTCCTGCTCCAGGTGCTCTTATCGCCGCTCCCCGCCCTCCGTGCCCGCATACACGGAGATGGCTTTGCTGTTATCTGGGATTTGCTCTTATCTGGGATGTGCTGTTGTTATCAGCGGTTTGGGAGGGACCCGTCCCTTCCCCTGTCCCTCTGCAGCAGGGACAGCCAGGACCCCCCGCCCCCCTCCACCTCCTGCCTGGGGTCTCACTGGGGTTTGTTTGGGGTGCGCCACAGCCCCCCGTGCGCCCCGGGCTCCGTCATGGAGCTCTACCCATCGAATTTCCCAATTAATTATAATCATTCCAGAGCAGCTGGGGCTGCCCCTGGATCCCTGGAAGTGCCCAAGGCCAGGTTGGACGGGGCTGGGAGCAACCAGGGGAAAGTGTCCCTGCTCCTGGCAGGGGGTGGCACTGGATTGTCTTTAAGGTCCCTTCCCACCCCAACCATTCCACGGCTCTGTGACACCCAGGCAGAGAGGAAGATGATGATGGTTCCGCCCTCTACACACGGGATAAAGAGGAGCAAAACGCTTTGAGCCCTCCTGGCATAACACGGCTGGGGCTGGGGGCCAAGGCAGGGGGCGGCCCCCTCACCCCCGCCCCGCCCCGGGGCTGTGCCGCCCCCCAGCCCTGGCCCATAAAGCAGCGCAGAGCAGCCCCCGTGCTGCCTGCCCGGTTCTCGGTGCTCCCTGCTCGGTTCTCAGCTCCCCAGAACCTCATTCCCGGTTTTAACGCCACATCCCGAGGATGCTGCGCCGCCGCGGAGCCTTCACGCTGCATCCGCTCCGTGGTGACCTCGGTGAGTCGGTGGCCCCCGGGGCTATGGGGGATCCCCCGTGTCTGGCCTGGATTGGGGGTTCCCTCGGGGTCTCCAACATGCGAGGCTCATGCAGGAGGGGAACCTTAAGGAATTTGGTTTGAGGTGTTTATGCTTGAGAGGGAACCTGGGGTCCTTGGAATCCCAATTTGTGTTGTTTGTGCTTGAGAAGGAACGTGGGGGGTTCCCTGGAACCCCCGAATTGTGCTCAAGTGGGTCCCTGGACCCCTGGTTTTCATCTCTCTCCCTGCTGGGAGGGGGCCAGGCTGGGAATTCACGTTTCCCTTCCCACGTTTGGGCTGACGGGCCGGAGCCCGCCCCCAAATGCGGCGTGGGGGGTCCCCAAAACCCAGGGGTGTGTGCCCGGGACCCCCTCCAGCAGCAACACGTGGGAGGTACCGGGGGCTGAACTGGAGCTGCCAACGCGGGGGGGACCCCCAGGAGGAGCTGATGGGGACCCCCCAGGCCCCTTCTCGCCCTGCCTGTGCCCCCCACGCCCGTGGGGCTCTGGTGACACCCCTGTGGTGGCAGAGGGAGCAGCCCCTTGGCACGTGGGGTCCCGGAGCCTGTGGAATTGCAGCGTGTGGGATTTTGGGATGCTGGCAGCGGCCACGGGGCTGCCCCCCGGAATTCCTGGGATTCAATCCTGCTGGGGCGGGCGGGCTGCGCCCCGGCATTGCTGAGATTCAATCCCACTGAACGGCCGGATTGTCCCAGGGCCGGCCGCCACTTCCCGGCTCCCCTCGGCCCTTCCAGCCCCCGAGGGATGCACGGTGAGTGGTGTGGCTGCAGGAGAGGCAGAAATTTGGGAGAACTGGGACTCCCCCGACCGGTGAATTCAGCCCACGCTGGAGTCCTGAGTGAGTTTTCTGGAATTCGGTGGGATGCAGCCGGCACCTGGCTGCCTGCCGGCGCCCAAACAACCCTCTCACCTCCCCAGCTGGGGCGGGAAGGGAGTCCTTAACCACTGGCCCAGCCAGTATCGCCGATCCCAAATCCTGCGAGGAACCAGTTGGGAACCGGTCCTGTAATGAGGTGCCTCTGGATACAGGGCCCGTCGCCGGCTGGGGTGGCTATAAAAGGGAGCGCCGGGACGCGCGCCCGGCACTCGGCTCTGGCTCTCGGCGATGTGGGGTGGCTCCCGCGCCGTCTGGAAGAGGAGGTTCAGCTGCTGTGAGTGCGCTTGAGGGGGGGTGTCAGCCCTCGAGAGGGATTTTTGGGGGGTGGGCAGTCTGCGGGAGGTGCCAAAGCTTCGCTCCCTCCTCCCTGATCCCCTCGCCGCGGCTTGGCCGGGGAGGGAGCGAATGTCGGGCAAGGAATGCTGAGACCTTCCCATCGATGCACCACGATCCCACCTGGAGCTGCGAGGTGGTGGGGGGCACTTCCCGGCTGGCGATGCCACCCATCCTATGGGGACAGCAGCGAGGAGCTGATGGCCCTGGAGCCATCCCAGACCCGGGATCCCATGGCCGTGCTGTGTCCTGGGCTGCCGGCACCGAGCTGGAGCGGGATACAGAAAGAACCCGGCTCAAAAGCTCTGCCCAGGTCAGGGTGGGAGCCGTGGGTGCCCCTCCAGCAGCTCAGCAGCGCGGCTTGGGGGGAGGAGGAGGCTGGGGGAGGCCAGGGCCGTGTTTTGGGGGAGCAGCGACAACACGCTGGGGTTTGTAGGAGTGCATTCCCGGCTGGGATCCCCCTCTGGAATGGGGTCCCTGGGCAGGCGGGAGAGCCCAGGGCACGGCTGGAGCTGCTGTAGGGGGCACAGGGAAGCTTGGAGGGGCGGTGGGCACCCAGTTTTCTGCCCAGGGACCCCCCAGCTGAGCCCACACATCCTCCTTCCCCCGCAGATGGTCCCTGGGAGTCGGCCGAGAGCTGCATCGTGCGCACCTCCGCCAGCGTCTACCGCCGGCTGCAGGAGAGCCCGAGGCAGCCCCCGCGGGGAATGAACACCCGGGGAGCCCCCCCGACCCCACCGCAGCCCCCCAGCAGCTCCCCGGCCGGCGGGAGGTTCCTCAAATCCGAATCCGAGGATTCCGGAGTGGAGATGGCCAGCAACGAGCACTCGCCTTCTACTCCGCTGGGATCCGAGAGCAGCTTCTCCCTCGATGGTTTCTTGGCGGAGAAGGCCCCCGGAGGAGAGGAGCCCCCCGGAGGGGAGGAGCCCCCCCGGACACCCCGGAGCCGCTCGGGCAGCAGGAGGCTGCTGCAGGCAGCGCAGCGGAGCAGGAGGCAGCGCTGCCCGCGACAGCTCAGCCGGCGCAGCGCCAGCACCGCCGACCTGGCAGAGCCACCCAGGGACCCCGAGGAACCCGAGGGGGCGGCGGCGGCTCCGGCTGGCGGGGCTCGGTCGCCCGGTAGCCCTGGGGACCCCCGGGCTGTGCCCGAGGTTGCGTCGGGGCAAGGGCTGCGTTACCTGGAGCACGTGTGCCAGATGTTGGAGCGCCTGGCGCGGCTGCAGCAGGACAACCGAGCCCTCCGGCGGCAGGCGGCCGGAGCCCGGTGTGCCCGCCCGGCCACCCTGGTGAGGACCAGGAGGAGGGGGATGCACGGGGAGGGGGTGTGGGGGTCCCAGCTCACAACCTGCCTGTCCTCTCCTCACCCGCAGCCCTCCCGGCAGCCTCCGAGACAGGATTTGGGCACGTGGAGGGGTGAGAGGTTCCGGCCGCGCTCCAGCTCGGACAGCCTGGCACCAGGTGAGGGGGGTGGGATTCGGGAATGGTGGCACCTGGGGCCAGGTGAGCACTGGGGGATGCGGGAATGGCAGGACCGGTGCCAGGTGAGTGGGGTGGGACGGCGGGACCTGGCGCCAGGTGAGGAGGGGGGGGCAGCATGTGGCATGGCAGGACGGTGCCCCCCAGGCCCCAAATCTTGACCAGCTTTGTTCTCCCACTCAGCAGCCGAGCCCGGGCCGTGCCGGAGGATTTGGGGACACTCAGTCAGCTCCCCCAGCCTGCTGGACCCCTCCGAGGGCGGGGCGGGGGTCCCGGCACCCGACAAGGTACGGCCGGGGGGTGTCGGGGTGTGGCCGGGGGAGGTCCCGAGGGTCCCCCCGCTGACCCCCAGCTCTCCCTCCCGGCAGGACGGGCGCTCGCACTGGGGCCGGGTGAAGGTGCTGCTCACTCGCCTGACCCGCCGCTCCCTGCGGGGTGGCCGGTGCAGGTAGGACGGGGCGGGTCCCGCTCCCACCGCCACACCTGGATGGAGGAACTGCGTCACACCTCACCTTATGACGTCACGCCCGCCCGGGGCCGGCCCCCGGCCCGGCGCCCCCCTTCCCCTTTTTTTTTTTTTTTTTTTTTTTTTCCCCCCAATAAAATCTTTTCACCGATAAAGAGGCGGCTCTTAGTGAGGTGCTTTCTATCGCGCCGTGACGTCACACCCCTCAACCCAGCGTGACGTCACGCGAGGACGCGTCACTGCCGCATCACTTCCGACGGCTTTTCCGCCCCTTTTGTCCCACCGGGCCCGGTCCCACGGACGGTTCCAGCGGCTGCCGCTCCTCCCGAGCCCCCTCCCCTGCATCCCCTCGCCGCTCAGCCCCGGCAGGCTCCGGAGGGGTCCTGCTGTTTTGGGATGGGGTAAAGCTTCTCCATCCCCCAAAACCTCCCCCCCTGAGCCCCCCGGGCCCCTCAAGCTGCTCCGCGGGTGGGGTGGTGGGGATGATGCTCTGGGGAGCATCGCGGCTTTCTCGAGGGGGCCTCCCCGATTTGGGGGGTACAGGAGGAGGGTGAGGAGGGGTCGATGCTGTTTTGGCGCCGCCGGAGCCTCTCACGGTGTCGCCAGCTCAGCGCGGGACGGGCCGGTGCCGCAGGTGAGGAAGAGGCTGCCCCAAGCCCCGGCCGGGCGCTCTCCCATCAGGTATCCCCTTATCCCTCCTTTTTCCCCTTTCCTGTTCGTTCCCTACCGTCACTTGGGGTTTTTTTCCTTCCTTCCTTCCCAGCGGTGAATCCCGCAGCCCTCCCGGCACCGCTCCCACCCGGGGGCACCCTCGGAGCTGCAGCGTCCTGGATCCATCCCATTGTCCTGCATCCATCCCAGCGCTCCTTCCCGGGAAACGTGAGTGCCCATCCTCATGGCAGGGGTTGGATCCGTGCTGGGGGTCCCTGGCGGTGCCCCCCGGCTGGGTCACAGCCTGATCAGGGGGTGCTGAAGGGTTTTTGGAGCACACCTGGGGTGTGTATGTGTGTCTTATCCTTGTTCCCCCCTTTCCAGCATCAAACTCTTCCCATCGCCCCCCCTCTGCTCTCCTGAGCCCCCCGGGGGTGAGGAGCAATGGGGAGGGGCTCGGGAAGGTGGGGACGGGACACGGGTGGGTGTTCCCAGGGCGGGGTGGGAATCTGGGCACCCCCTCCCCTGCTGCCCCCCTCTGCCACCTCCATCTCCCCCCTCACCTGGGGGGGATTCACCGCCTGAATCCCAGTGGCTGATCCCAAAGATGCTGAGGCTGGTCCAAGGGATGCTGATCCTCCTTTCAGGGCCCAGGTGAGAAGGAGGAAGAGGAGGAGGAGGAGGGAGGCTCAGCCTCTCTTTCCCATCCCAGCACCCCTGGATCACCTGGAGCAAGGGGAAGCTCCCGAGCATCTGACGAGGAAAATCAAGGTGTGGATCCAGATGTGTGCTGATGTTGGCAGGCCTGGACAGGGTTAATTCATCCCATTTGTGAGGAAAATCCTTCGGATTGGTGCCGCTGGATTGGGGGTGGGCTGGCATCTGCTAAACCTGTCCTGAGGGGGTTGGGGGCTTTGGGGACGAATGGGGACAGTCAGGATTGCTGCAGCACCACTGAGCTAACCCGGAATTCCGGGTGGGGAGGAAAAAAGGAGGAAGATTTGCTCATCAGCAGGGAATGCTCCCCATCCTGGGATGGCCCCAGCGCCACTCATGTGGATCCTCTCGGATCTTCCCTCTGCTGCTGGAGGTCTGGGTGCTGATGAGCCTCGCCCAGGGGTGCCTCAGACACGGAGCTGAGCTCGTTCCACGTTGTAGAGTTAACTTTCCCTTCCTGCCAGCTCTCCCTATTAACGCTGGCATCTTGTGGGTGGTGCCAAACCCGGTAATTATCCACTTTTTACTATAAAAGATGGAATTCTCCTCCCCAACCACTGCGGAGAGTACACAGAGTGAATCCCTGGGAACGCCTGGGTTAAGTTTCCATGGGTGAAATCCCTCTCCTGAGCGCTGGGAGGGCAGGAAATTTGTGGGATTTGTGGATACTCTGCGTGCAGGAGGGGGTGGCATGCTGGGGATGAGGTGGCCAGGGAGGCCTGGCTGTGCCACACAGGGTGACAGTGACACAGAAAAAGCCACCAGGTGCGTTCAGGTGAGCCTAGGTGAGGAGGAATCAACACCTCCAGGCCACGGAAGGGCTGCCATGGATTTTTGCCCTCCAGGGAGCCACCCTGGGGTCTGAAGGGCTCAGATCCCGTGGGAGGAGCGTGTCCTTTGCTTGAGCTCACGGGCTCTGTGCGTGGCAGTTAAATATATATATATAAATATCTATATTCTGTATATTTAGCATCCCTGCTCTGGGTAACCGTGGCAACTGGATTTATTTTGCTTAAACCTGGCCTGGCATGTGATGTGGTTGGGAAGGAACAGTGAAGGGGAGAGGGAGGGATGAAGTTCTCTGCGCTGGGAGCTGGGGAGGAGCCTTGGCACGGGATGCTCTCAGGGGGACCCTGCTGTGTTCCTGCACCGGGGACAGCCACCAGCATTCCCAGGGCTCTGTTCCATCCCCTTTGCTCCAGCTGGAAAAGGGAAGGTTTGGTTTTAGGGGCTCTGCTGAGCTTCCCAGCACAGCCCTGACCGCTGTTCCCAGGTTTGCCAAAATCCAGGTCGTGGCAGGAGGAGGTGGGGATGGTTTTCCTGATGTCTGGAGCAGCAGGAGCCTCCTGCCACCCCAAGGCAGAGACAGCACCTTCGTCAGCTCCACCAGAACCCCAGCAGGGTGGGCTCCCAACCCTTAGCCCAGGGCACAGCCGGCAGCCCCCTCCTTATCCTTAAAGGATAGCTCAGGCCTAAATTCTCTGTATTTCCCTGGAAAATTCTATTCCTCGTGCTTTGACGCCGTTTCCTTCCCGCCCCTCCAAAATCCCAATTTTTCCCTTTCCAGGGGACGCCCCAAACCCTCGGTGTCCCCCCTGCAGTGGCGGCCGCGCGGCGGCAGAGGGCGACAGCGGCCCGGCGGTGACAGCGCCACCGGCCCGGCCCCAGGGGTGACGGCGACACCGACAGGGCCCCGGCGGTGACGGCGCCACCGGCCCGGCCCCAGGGGTGACGGCGACACCGGCCCGGCCTCAGCCGCGCTGCGCTGCCAAAAACTTTATTGGGGACAAGCGGCCCAGTCCCTGTGGCCCTTCCCCGCACTCCGAGGATGGGCTGAAGCCCCCCCAAATTTCCCCCAGTTTGCTCCTGGTTGGGTTGTCTCCCTTAGGGGTGTCCCCACCTGTCCCTGTTCCCGAGTCACCTGTCCCCACCCTGGGCACCCTCAGCTCTTTGTAGAATTCCTGGGGAAAGAAGGATGGATGCTCGCCACGGGAAACATCACCCTCTCCCTGTGCTCAAAAACTGGGATTGGAGTGATTTTTTTTTTTTTTTTTGAGTGATTTTACCCTCCCCTGCGGGAGCCACGGAACTCCTAAGGCACAAAATGAGGGGGAGGAGTGGGGGTCTCACCCTCTGGGGGTGCCAAGGGAGGCTGGAACCTGGGAAAATCCAGCGCACCTCACATCCCACTCCCCATCTTCGTCCGAGTGGGATCCCTCCCTTTCCTGCTCCTCCACACCCCAAAATTTAAGGCGAAACTCATTCGTGGAGTGACAATGACGATCCAGACCCTGCCAGGAGCAGCTCCAGCCCATCGAATCCATCCGTGGGATGGGAGCTGGGGTGAAGGGGGGGATCCCCATCCCTTCTCCATCTCCCCCATCCCCTCCTCAGTCATCAGCCACGATGGAGAGCGCTCGCAGCTCGCTGAGTTTGGCGTCGTTCTCCCTCTCCCGCTGCTCATCGCTCAGCCCGGGCCGGTCGATCTGAGCCGTCAGGTCCCCAAAAATCTTGTGCATCTCCGTGTAGTAGACAACCTGTTGGAGAGATAAAAGGGAGGGGGGGGATATTGGGGAGGGAGGGGTCTCCTCCCCAGCCCACTCCCCCCTCTCGGGTGCCCTCACAGCCCCTCGCAGCAGCGTTGGTGTCTAAAATAGCTCCCTCCCACGTGGCCATGCCACCCCCTCGGATTATTACAACTCAACACATTTTAATAACACGCTGCCCTTCTCCGCTCGCTTCCCATCTGGGAGCCGCGCGTGCGGGGCTGCCACCGCCACCCGCCACCCTCCCGCAGCCTCTCCTCGTGTCCCCCTTGTTTTTGTCACCGCTGTCACCTCCCCGCGCTGCCCCCGCGGCTCGCTGGGCACGGTGGGCAGGGCGAGGGGCGAGTTGGGTTGGGCGAGGGGGCACGCCCGGCAGAGCCGTGCCCCCCGTGCAAAGCAAGGGGAGGAGGAGGATGATGATGATGATGAGGAGGAGGGGTGTGTTAATAACGTGCTAATTGGCACCGCCAATTATCTCCGGCAGCGAGCAGCGCTCGCCGGCGCGGGAGCCCGTGGGTCAGCGCAGGCAGATGGCAGCGGGGTGGCTGCTCGGGCTCGGGCTCCAGTGGGGAGAGGGAGGGTCCCAGCCCTGCTTGGGACACCCTCGGGGCTGTGGGACCCCCCTGGTGTCGTGGGACCCCCCAGAGCTGCCTGGGGGAATCCCTGGTGCTGTGGGACCCCTGGGTGCTGCACGACTTTGAGCCCTGCCTGCCACACCCTATAGGAACCCTGGCACTGTGGGACCCCCCCCAGCCCTGCCTGGGACACCCTTGGGGCTGTGGGACCCCCCTGGCACTGCGGGACCCCCAGAGCTGCCTGGAGGACCCCCGGGTGCTGCAGGACTTTGAGCCCTGCCTGCCAAACCCTGTGGGACCCCTGGCACTGTGGGACCCCCCCCAGCCCTACCTGGGGCACTCCTGGTGCTGCGGGACCCCCAGTGCTGCCTGTGAGACCCCCAAAACTGCAGCACCTCCGGGCAGCACAGAACCCCTTGTACTGTAGGACCCCCAAGTGCCACAGGAGCCCCAGAGCTGCCCGTGGGATTCCTGGCCCTGCAGGAGCCCTGATGCTGTGCCAGGTGTGGGATCCTGTCCTGGACACTCCCCCAGGTCCATCAGGGAGGGATTGGGGAGCGCTGTCCCCCCAGGGTGGGCAATGCCAGCCCCGTCCCCATTTCCCAGAGGGGCCCCAGCATCTCCAGCAGCACCAGTGCAGAGACACACACGGTCTCCATGGAGACCAGCTCCCCTAATCCTGCTCTAAACCGTGCCGATTTTGGGCAGGCCTGAAGGGGAATGGTGAGGCCCCAAATTCCAGCACCAGCTGCCTGAACCCCCCTGGCCAGGCCTGTCCATGCCGGGGGTCCGGGGGCTGCTCTGTGGCCGGGGCTCCCCACGCAGCAGAGCTGGCTGAGTCACAGCAATGCTCATTTACACAGTGACTAACGAACCCCACACACGGCTGAGCTGGCAGGGGCCCCCCAAAATCCCTGCACAGCTCCCAAAACACAGCCCCACAGCTGGGTCACCTCAGACATCCCCTGAACCCCCTCCTCTGCAAGCAAGAAATGCCAAAAACACCCGAAATCCCTGGGCAATGCCGTGGGTGAGCAGGGATCCGGGGGACAGGGATGCCAAGCAGGGTGGCAGAGCCCTGGACACCCCCCCATGTCCCTTGTCCCCAGCCTGGAGTCACACATGGCCAAGGGGCACTGCCAATTCCTGCGTGGAAAAATCACCAGTGCCTTAAAAGGAATCCTGTTGGAGTGGGAGGGCTGGAGGCAGATGCTGTCCCCAGGGTTGCCCCCAAGATTTGGGGACATTCACCCCTCAGGATTGGTCCCAGGATTGCTTTCTGGATTGTTCCCCAGAATATGGGGAGAACTGTCCCCCAGGATTAGTTCTGGAATTGTGCCCCAGTCAGGATTCAGGAATCCCTGAGGATTTCCCCCTGACCAGGATTGCTCTCTAGGATTTTCCTCAGGACTGTCCCCAGGATTGTCCCTCCAGCATCCACACTGGATTGAGAGCAGAGCAAACTCCTTGGTGCTGCTCCTCCTCTACCCGTATTCCACAGCCACCAATCCCTTCCTGGGGGACATCCTGTGTCCCCAGGGCCTGCTGGGTGTCCTTGGGGACATCCTGTGTCCCCAGGGCCTGCTGGGTGTCCTTGGGGACATCCTGTGTCCCCAGAGCCTGCTGGGTGTCCCTGGGATGCTCCAGTCCCCCAGCACGCCCCAGTACAAAACCAGTTGGCTGCACCTTGCCAGCCAAGTCTCTCAAGCTAAATCAAAAAAATCCCACTGGCATCCAACCTCCCCATGATTTCTCCAGTTTCTAGGAATGAAAACCCTCCCAGGGAGGGGATGCACCCCAAATTGGTGACAGTGACAGCAGGGGACCCCTCGTTCTGCAGCCTGCTCCCACCATCCCAGTACTTTTCCAGCTATGGATGCCATATGCTCTGTCCCCATCCCATCAAATCCCAGCTCCAGCTCGCCTTTGAGCCTGAGCCAAGGGCCCTGAGTCCACCTGTCTTGAACTAATTCTGTTTGGGGACGCCGTGTTCCGTGGATTTTCTATAGATCCCGGCCACAATGGCCCAGCCGGCCACAGTGCCCTTGTTTGGGGCAGCCCTACCCAAAACAAACCCGGGGGCACTGCCAGGGCCGGGCTCCCCCAGCCCACAGCACCATCCCTGCCTGCCAGCCTCATTTTTCCCCCCCGTTCCATTAAAATCCAAAGGAATCTCGTGTTTTCTAGCTGGAAAACAAAGCCCGAAGCGGGAAGGAAGTGCTGTTCACGCCTCACACCAGCCACAACTCCAAAATCTCCCCCTTTCATCTCCATGTGGCCACTTCAAAGCCCCCAGCCAGGGAAATATTTGCCTCCCTTGGCTTGGCCCGGGCCCGTGGGTGGAGGGAAGAATTTGGTGTTGAATGTTACAGCCCTGCGAGCTCGGGACATGTCCCGGCGTCAGGAGACACCCGGCCCTGGGAGCACGGCCAGGCTGTGCCATGGGAACTCGCCCCTGGGCAAGAGTTTTGGGAGGGTCCCCTTGGGTCACAGCCACGGAGGTGCTTGGGAGCAGGGTCCTTGTCCTTCCCTGAGAGGCAGCTGGTCCCTTCCCAGCTCACTGACACACAATTTGAGTTGTTTTAACTCCTGGCTTCCTCCAGGGCCAAAAATTAAAGAAAATTACATGGATTGGATTTGGTTTGACCCGGGGAGAAACAACCCCAAAGTCACAGCACCCTGCACGGGGCCAGCTGATGCCAGACCCACCCCATCCAGCCCTTTCCTTGTGGGATGCACCTCCAAGCCTCATCCCACTCCTAAAGAAGCAGGAAAGGCTGAAAATAGAAATTCCATCGAGGAACACGACCCCCCCAGCTGCTCCATCAGCTCAGGGAGGCCCAGAGGGAGGGAAAGCTGGGCAGTGTTCCCATGGCAGCCTCACCTGGCATGGGGATGCTCCCAGCTGCCCTTCCCAGCCAGGTGCCTGCAGGTGAGCAGCTGCCAAAGCTGACTCAGGGCTCCGGCTGCTATTCCTGGCTCGCCACTGACTCATTACCTTGGGCAAATCAAATTCCTTTTCCATTTTATTTCAGCCACTTCAGTGGGAAAACGCTTCCCAGAGCTCCTGAACCAGGGGGGCACACGCAGCCCGAGCCCAGCTCGGTGCAAACATTCCCAGATCTCCTCCCAGAATCCCTCCTTGGGGATGGAAGGATGTGCTGGGAAAAAGGAGAGGGATGAGGCTCCCATGGAGGCTGGCAGGGAGGGAGGGATGTGAGGAGCTGCATCCATCTGGGACCAGCTTTAGTCCAGCCTACGGGAGATGCATCAGCTTTGTTGTGACGCTGCCTTTTTGGGTGTTAAAAACGGGATTTCACTCGGTTTTCCCAACAAATTCCTCACCTGAAGAGAGGCAGGGCACATAGATGGGAAAGCAAGCAGAGGATTCCCAAGGAAGAAGAGGGATAATGGATGGAGAGTGTCACAAACAGCCCCAGCAGTGACACCCTGCTGCTCCCTGCTCCGAGCACACCCATCCCAACGTCCTCCTCACCCCAAATTCCTTGGGAATCGGGACACAAACGGATGAGGAGAAGCCAGAGGGGCAAAGCTGCTCTCTGAGGAAGATCACAAACCCCCGGAGAGGGCTGAGAACATTCAGGTTTCAAGGTCTCACCCACGGAGGGGGAAAAGGCCAGCGAGACCCTGCGGTGGCTCCGGGAATTCTGGTTATTCCCGGCTGGAACAGGGAGCCCCGTGGCCGATTGCTGAGGGAACAGCAGGAACAGCATCCCCAGCACCCACCCTGCGGCGCAGGGAGCATCGGCACCATCTGGTAGGTGAATCAGCCTGCAGACAACTCGCTGGCAGCTCCGCACAGAGGCCCCCCCAAAGTCGGAGGTGAGATGGAACACGTGCTCCCCGCACCTCCCGCAGCCCCCCCGCAGCACACCTGGGTCCCTGCAGCCCCAAAATGCCGCGGGGAAGAGCCCACGGTGTGGGCAGTGCCCGGTTCTGCCCTTCTCCCCGGTGCTGGACTGCCCCAGGAGTGACAGCGTGGGGTGCCAGAGGTTCTCAAAGCTTGGTGAGATCTCAGCCTTGCCTCTCTGCAGCCTGAGGGAATGGGAAAGGCAGGAGGGAGGAGGAAGAGGAGGAAGAGGAGGAGGAGCAGCACGTTCCTGAAGGAAGCTGGAAGATGGAAATGAAAGCTGTTGGTTATTCAGGGCACCTCATCCTGGAAATCTTTGGTGTGGAGATGTCCCAGGAGCCTCTTCTCCACTTAGGAGACCCTCCAGATGAGCCCAAACACCTCAAACCTAACCAAGCCCTGAGCTCAGGCCTCCAAATTCAAGGGGATGCCATTCCCAGGTGGGTAAAGCCATGGAATTCCAGAGGACAAAGTACAGGCAGGGCTGGAACTGTGGGACAGGACAGGACACAGGTACCAGGAAGGGACAATGTCTCACCTGTGCCCGGACCAGTGCCTCGAAGCTGGGTTTGAAGTAATCGATGCGGCTGCTGTAGAATTTGGGCATCTCCTCCAGGAGCTGCTTGTTCTTGGCTTCAAAATCCTCCTTCACAGGACGCAGCTCCTCCCGGGCCTGCAGAGGGACACAGGGCGGGTCAGACCCTTGGGACAAGGATCCTCCTGGCATGGAGGCCACCCCAGGACAGTGGGGTGCTGTGCTTGGATGTGGGGACAAGCAGTGAGCAGCCTGGAGGGACCCATGGGATCATTCAGTGGAGCCTGGTGGGATCATCCAAGAGAACCTGGTGGGATCCATGGGATCACACAATGGAATCTGGTGGGATCCATGGGATCATCCAAGAGAACTTGACTGGATCCAAGTGACCATCCAGTGGGACCTGGTGAGATCCAAGTGACCAATTAATGGAACCTGGTGAGATCCAAGTGACCAATTAATGGAACCTGGTGAGATCCAAGTGACCAATTAATGGAGCCTGGTGGGATCCAAGTGGCCAATTAATGGAACCTGGTGGGATCCAAGTGACCAATTAATGGAGCCTGGTGGGATCCAAGTGACCAATTAATGGAACCTGGTGGGATCCAAGTGGCCAATTAATGGAACCTGGTGGGATCCAAGTGGCCAATTAATGGAGCCTGGTGGGATCCAAGTGGCCAATTAATGGAACCTGGTGAGATCCAAGAGACCAATTAATGGAGCCTGGTTGGATCCAAGCGACCATTCAATGGATCCTGGTGGGATCATCCAATGGATCCTGGTGGGATCATCCAATGGATCCCAGTAGGACCCACGCTCTGACCCTGGAAAGCCACAGGACACCCAGAGAAGTTGTGTCCTCTCTCCTTCAGAAAACCAGAGCCCAGCCAGGCTGGAGAGCGTCCCTGGCCACATCCACGTCCCCTCACCCTGGAGCGTCGCTCCGGGATCGTGTCCCCACCGTCACCGTGACCTTCAGCTCAGTGCATCCAACTGGCTCTGCCCAGCAGAGCGTGGGGAGAACGGGAAATGTCTCTGGGATGGTGTGGAAAAGGGCAGGAGGGGGTGGGCTGTGAAATATTACACTGGATCCAGTCGGCCACTTAATCCCGGTGCCATTCCGACGGCAGGGGGGTGAGGGAGAGCCCAGCCCTGACCCTGGGGACAGGGACAGTGCCAGGACAGGGGACAGGGACAGGGACAGGACAGGGGACAGGGACAGGGACAGGGTGCCAGGGGGATGGCACGGGCTGGGCTCCAGGCTGGAAAAATCTGGAATCATCCCAGCAAAGGAGCAAATTCATCATTCGATGTGAAATCGGGAGCGCTGAAACTGCCAGGATGGAGTTCATGGGGGAAATTCTGGGATGGAGTTCATGGGGGAAATTCTGGGATG